TTTTTGACCAATCAGGGATATTGACTGGTGCTGAGGATCGTTGAGCGATCTTAGTTTCATGGCTTGTTAAGTTGCCAACCCTTGGGATCATTCTTGGTGTGGTGGTGATGCGCCATGCAGAGGAGGAGGAGGAAGAACCTACAAAATCCTTGGATTTCCTCAGGACGGGACTTGAATCTTCAGTCTCCTTTGCATAAGACCACATATCATCTTCTTCAAAATCTTCATCCCTGTCTGAGCTCCTACTATAACTACTTGGATTCTTCCTCATGATTCCATGCCAATCCGCCATGAATTTTTCTGCTAGCTATAAAGAACAAAGAAAAGAGGTTATATAACTTCAAGTGGATGGACCAAGACCACAAAGAGAGAAGAGAGATTTGAGCAAAAAGAAAAGAACAACTTCTTGAGGCATAAATAGATGGGAGAAAAATGCTTTTCTTATTCCTAAAAATGCTTTTCTTATTCCTGCTTTTTGATCTTATTTGTTGTTGGGAAAGAGTTAAGAAACTTTGTTTATTTTAAGGGGAAAAGAAGGAGAAATATGCAAAGAGAATAGTATCAGGAATCTACCCTTTTTGTTTGAATACTGTTTACAAATACCCTTCAAAAGAACCAAGGCTTTTCAAAGAAATCACAAAAGAGTTCTTCACTTGTTTGCACAACTCCAAAACACCAACTAGGACAAAGGAAGAGAGGCTGTGAAAAGCCCTTTCCCCTCTGGCCGAATAAATACCTCCAAACAAAATCACAGATTTTAAGACCCCCAAGATAGTACTCTGCAATAGCAGAGGAAAAAGACAACCCAAACAGATGTATATGAGATCTTTTCTTGTTTCTTTCTTCAACATTAATGGTATATATCAAATTCAACAAAATTCTTAAAAAAGAAGGATATGGATGATAATCTCAGTAACACCATCCAATAAATTACCCTCGAATGTTCACCACAAAGGTGGATTTGGTGCCCACAGAATAGAGGCAGATGAGGGATATTGAGGCATTGAACAAATCCAGACCAGAAACCATATGTTATCAGAGCATATTTTACCACCTATAGAAACCAGTCGGTATTGAGAGGTTCCTTTGGGGTTTATTTATTGCCATCCACTCAATGTGCATTGATTATGGATGCAGCAACATCTCCTTTCTTTTTCAAGATGAATGTGACTACTATTTTTTTTGGCTAGAACTCAAAATGCTAGATTTTTTGATTGGGAAAGGTGGAAAAGAAGGATTGGACAGACCGACCTCACTGATTTCGGTAACCTTATCCCCAAATCACAGCAACTCAGCTCATTCCTACTTTACCATAGAGAAAAAAAAAGCTCAGTAACAGAGGGAGAAATAAAGGAAAGCTATGTGAAATGTGAAGCAAGAGTGCCTAGGAAGGGGAGCTTATTGAGTAAAAGCACTTGGTTGGGTGACAGTGCATTGAGATTTGTGGTGGGTGACTTTGTTTTTGTTCATGATCATATTTAACTGTGACTGCAACTTGTTCCTATTACAACTCATTCTTCAATGCTTCCTGGGTTTTGGGGATCACAGCAGATAATGAAAGGCAGAGAGAAAGAGAGTGGGTTAAATTTGTTTATTTGTTGTGGGGGCAATAATATAGCCAGAGAGGTGGTGGTGGTGGGTAGGGTAGTAGGCTGAAGGGTCTTCTCAGCTGAAATCAGGAGGGTCAGTTGGATAATGACCCAAGAGAGGGTTTGTTGTGGGTCAACTCCCTCTAGTTCATCATCGTGCACCATACAACAGAGAGATTAATCACACAATGAGTGGGGCTGTGGGACTTGCATATATACCTCTACTACCCCCTTGAACTCAGATAAGAGGCTACTAAAATCACCCAATAATATGATGCCAAAAAACTCTTAAAAAGGCCAATCAACCTCTTAAAGTAAACCAGTTGGTTACTCTAGGAAAAAGAAAGAGACTCTTCAACTTTAGCTTGGAGTCAGCTACTTAACTTCCAAGAAAATAGAAGTCTGATTAACTTTGGACATAGAAAAAGACCTAACAATTTACATCTTGAAATTCTCAGTCACAGTGAAGAGTGGTTGGGGAAAATTGGTCTGTGGAAAAAAATTTGCTGGAGAGGGTGGTACTTCCTCAGTTTGGATTCAACATTTTACTCTACGTCAACATGAAGAAATATCCTTCTGATAGAAAAACATTTTCTTGATATCAATAATACAAGGCCTAACACATTAAATACTTATTTATTTATTTATTTTAATATTGCTGTCAAATACAAATCTAACTTCCTTCTTTAGTTAATATTATTATAGGATGATGTGGGGACGGGTGTAATAAGCTTCGTTACTATATGCATACCTAAATTATCTTACATGATTTGGCAATACTATTTTGTTCAGTTTTAAACTACAATACAAGTAGAAAACTTGTTCAATCCAATAAACCATTATTATTTTACTAAAGACAACAGACAACAACCCTGTTGAAAGAACTTTCTCCTACCTATAATAATGCATTAAAATAACAACAGAGAACTACCCTGAAGAACCATTGCAGGATTAAACAGAGTTACTCCCAACAACTAAATCTTGCCTTCAAAATGCAGCTTAACTATTCAGTCTTTAGAGAGGTAAGGTTACTTGAGGAAAGGGAATTCAATGGATTTTTTTCGTTCTCAACTATGTGATTTGAGACTAAGCAACCTACAAATGATATATTATGTATATTTAATAAGAATTTCAACATAATCTACAAGCTAGCTCGTGTCCCTTTGTCGTAAGAAGCTATAGATCTGAATCAGATTTTGTGGCTTACTTAATGGGATATCAATCTGAAATTGAGTAATTACGTGGAGTGGAATCCTAGTAGGAGACTTAAGTGATCAAAAATAAATTTACCTAAAAGCTTTCTAATCATTAGACAAAAGAAACCCATTTCTACCATCCAAAAAGGACCCATTTCATTAGACTGATGAGATAACTAGATAAGCACATCCAAAAGCACTTCGTTTGGTTGATCTCACTGCATTTCGTTTTAGGAGATTAGTGGAAATCGACCACTGAATTTGCTAGCAAAATCTCATTCTTAGTCCACTAGCACCCTATACTCAGTCACATAACTATCATTTCCATTAGGTCTGGGTCGCATCAATGCAAGCCAAAGGTGAGACATTTTGGGTGGAAAAGCAGGGAAAACAGACATACCAACAATATAGCCAAAGATCATTCTGCATGTACCCTTTCATGGCCCCAGGATATCATCAGTAACTTGAAATTCACATGAAATGTAAAGGTAGTTTCATGTATATAAAAAGAAACAAGGAACTAAAGTCAAAATCAAGTAGAATCAATCATTATATTAAAGAGAATGCATCTTGTTTTGGTCCACCAAAGTGGACTTTTTGTTGGAAAAAATGCATCTGGTGAATTAACCAAATGACACGGCAGCTTCTCAAATCATACAAATAGTTGAACAAAAGGTTTGATAGGAGTTGGGGGTAATGAACAAGGGATTTATTGATGAAAAGCTAATTTACTCAGAATACAAGACTAGAATTTCTAAGAATGTATGGCAATTCATTTTCAAATATTGCTAGAGCTACAACAACCAAAAACCATTAGGAAATAACTAAGAAAATGCAAGCATGAATGTTCATTTTCAGAAATTGGTATAACTACAACAACCAACAACCTTTAAGAAAATGCAAGCATGCGTATTGTCCTATTGTCCAATTAACCATCAGAAACATTCCAACCAATTTTGACCTTATGCACCCGATTAAATTACCTTGTTGTCATCCGTTCTGAATAGAATTTCATTGAAAGATCAGATTAATCATATTGCTGTTGGAAGTAAAGCGCACAATCCTGCAAGAAACATCCAACAAGAAAGAATTCCATTTCAGCATTTGCTAACTAAATTGAATCATTTTGAATAATTCAATTACAATCACAAACAGTTTTAAAGTTTGCGTGTTCTTTGGCTCAATATTATTCAATGATAAATCACCTAATCATGTACTTCCATGTGAAATTAGCCTAAAAGAGCATCCCAAAAACAATTGTAAACAGATAAACCAAAGCATACAAAACAAAGACACCGAGTTTCACGCTTAAAGGACCGCATAATGGGTCCCTGCTATGGACAGAAGGAGTCAATTTGGGATAAAATTCTTGTCTGATTAATCATAATACACCAAAAGAGAAAAAAGCAGGATCTTTTTTTCCAGTTAAAAGGAACTAATACCTACCCTTAGCTAACCATTATAATAAAAAAACTTTCCACATGAAACATTCCGGAAACATGCATTAGCTACTATGCCATATAAAAAACACCTGCATTAGGTAAAACTTCCTTGTTCCTTTAAGCCTGGATTACAAAGGACAAAAAAAGGATCAAACTCAGCTATGAAAAAGGAAGTCATCAATTATTCCACATAAAACAGAACTAACCCCTTTACATTCTCTATAAATGTTCATATTCTTACAAGGATTGGAATGCGTAAGTCAAAAACAGTGGCAACTAATCTGCTCAGGGAAGCTTTTGATTCCAAAATCATCCTCCTAGTTTCTCTCTTTACCTTCTTCCTACTGTATAGGATATTAAAAATGAGGCATGCAAAGAGTTTTCTTCTTCTTCCTCCAGGGCCTCCAAAGCTCCCAGTTATAGGAAACATGCACCTGCTGTCGGGTCCAGGGCCTCATCGCAACTTGTGGGAGTTGGCTAACAAGTATGGGCCACTGATGTTCCTCAAGCTTGGTTCTGTCTCAACCATCATTGTCTCGTCAGCTGACGTTGCTGACGAGGTCATGAAGAACAAAGAATATCTGCAAACCGGCCAAAACTTGCAGCTTCGGAGATTCTTGGATACAATTACACTGATGTTGCATTTGCTCCATTTGGGGCATGCTGGAAAACTTTGAGAAAGATTTGTGTACACCAACTTCTGAATGATAAAATGGTCAATTCACTTCGATCAGTTAGAGAAGAAGAGGTAGCCCTTCTTGTGCAATCCGTAGCCTCTACATCTGAGGAACCTGTGGACCTGGCGGAAAGCTGTTTACTTTGAATCATGATATTACTACAAGAATTATCTTCGGGAAGAAGTTCGAAGATCAAGAACGGTTCAGAGCAGCCATAAAACAGTGTACGTCATCGGCTGCAGGGTTTCACGTCGGGGACTTCTTCCCTTCTCTTTCCTTCGTCGGTGTAATCAGTGGAATGAAAGCCAAACTGAGGAAGAATTTCCTCGAGTTAGATAACATCACAGACAAAACAATCGGAGAATACATTACGAAGAAAAAATCGAATGGAATCGGGAACGAAGATCAGGTTAGGGACCAAATTAATATTTTAACTAAAAACGTACAAACAAACTAGATGGCCAAACACCGAACGGTATCATTTTTCCTACCTTTTCAAGAGAAGTGACTCCCGACCTTATTTGAAAGGGTGCCTGAGTCGAAACGGCCCGAAGCAAACCGGCATTCCCGCCTTCACCGTTCCCTTTATAAACCACCCCATTTCTCAATCTTCACCTCTCTATCTCTCCGACGCCGCCGGTTTACCATCACTCATCGCCATGAATCCACCAACCGCCTCGGAAGGATCGACGGAGGGAAACGAAAGCATGTATCCATCGATATCGTTAATTGAAACGGGAAGCACTGGCGAAGCTTAGGGACTCCTAAAAGTTTCAAAAGCTTGATTACTTCTCCATTACTTCCACGAAGAGACACAAAATACCCGCGAGCGTTGGACTCTGTTAAAATTAAATAGAATCAGAACACGCGGCCTAATCTTTCTCTATACGTGCAAAAAATTCTTGTGGTCATCCACTTTAATTCAAGCCTTGATATGTCGCTTGCATCTACGAATTTGGGCTAGCAAATTCCCTGCCCTCAAGATCTGAAATCTCCCTTGTTTTACGTGATCCTTGGATAGCTTCTTGACTTTGATTTCTACTGAAATTTGTCCAGATTGAGATGCAAAATAATTGCTGATCTGGGTTGTGTAAAATATAATGTTGTGTGCTGCAATCTGCCATTATTCTAAGCGTCAAAGCTGCTATTTTTGTGCTTGTTTCTGCCCTGTTTCAGGTGAGTTTAAGGGACTGATTATTCTTCGTTTTGGCCTCAAATAGTTATAAAGTTGATTATGAAATCAGGCCGGAGCTACCCCTATTATCAGAAAATGTTTCCAGCTTTAACATGTAGTTGAATTGGCTTAATTCTAACAGCATGTACCTTGCAGTACTTTGACCATAATTTTCCCTATAGATTCGGATTAAGGTAATACTTGATTCTATAGAAAGCCGAGAAATAGGGCTACAATTCATCTATTAACCATTCAACCTAGTTCGGTTTATTTCAAGCTATGAATTCAATTAGAAGTTCCAATTCATAATCTGATCATAACTTGCTCTCAAATCCTTCTTGTTATAGTGTTCAATTTTGCTGTCTTAGGCTGGATTCTCTATCTTTAACTCATTGGATCTAAAACATCTTTGACATCCTAATTCTTGGTTCTTAAGGGAAGTAAGTCAATTTATGGTTTTTACCCTTGATTTTTATTGAGGTTTTAAAGGTATATTTTTAACTGTTTTGAAGTAGTGGTGGAACCTAATCCGATTTTGTAATAATATGAGCATGATATATTTTGATACAAAGTTTTTATATCTATTCCTTACTAAAGAGTTGAGAATGCCTTTTTATATGATACCTATTAAAATATGGATTATGTGAGATAATGAATATTGCTTGTTTTAAGTATCCTATTTATTTGCATTGTTTTGTCTTAGACATGGTCATGATTCCTAATGTCCATCAATGAGAGTTTTGTAAACACTGACACATGTTGATATGTATTCCTGTGGAACTAGTTTATTTTGATATATTCTGTGGAATCGATTGATCTTGATATATTCCTATTATGTTGCCAGTAAAAGTGTGAACATTGATTATTCCTGTTATGTTGCTAATAGGAATGTGAACGCTGGTTATTTCTTGTTATCTTGCCAATGGAAATATCAACATTAGCCATAACTAACAGAGGAAACCACTAAACAATTTTATGGTACATTATTGGTTTATAATTGAAATATTGTTTTGATATACTATATCTGGCATGCTTTCTTTTAAGTAAAAATGGGATTACTGTAATTTACTTACTAAATTATCTCACATCATTTTTCCTATCCACAACTTCGGATAATGACACTAAAGACATTGGGGATCAAGGTGTGTGAGGTACTTGATGACTAGTTTCGCTTATTGTTGGATTGAGACTAGATTTTGGATTTTAGGCTTAGACATCTTAGATGATTTACATGATATTGGATTTCTATACATAATTTGATTTAGTTAGCTGTTTGGCCTTAGATTATTCATTATTTGAGATATTTATTTTATAATAGATTTTAGTAGATTCTTATGTTATGAATTTTGCTTAATATATTGAACATGTTTTTAGC